CCATGGCGATCATCTGCGGTGCTGGCCTCGGATCAGGTGTCGCCAACTATGCGAAATATAGCGAAGCATATTCCGTCGGTGCAGGAGCCCTCATTGTCGAAGGCTTTAGTCCGCTGGGTGGGTTTGGCAAATTCTGCTCGGTGGTTGTCGCGCTGGGTTTGATCGCCAACACCGTGGCTCCTTCCTACTCGGCTGGAGTCGACTTCCAGATTCTCGGACGTTATGCGGAAAAGGTTCCGCGAGTGCTCTGGAACACCTTCGGAGCAGTGATCTTCACTGTATGCGCCTTGGCCGGCCGGAGCAACCTCTCTGATATCTTCACCAACTTCCTGGCTCTTATGGGCTATTGGGTGGTCATGTGGGTGGTCATCATTCTGGAAGAACAGTTCATCTTCCGGTTCCGTAGCGGGTACAATTGGTACGCTTGGAACGATCCGTCTAAGCTGCCCGTTGGCATCGCTGCTTTGATCGCCTTCCTGGTTGGCTGGGCCGGTGCGATTCTGTGCATGGCGCAGGTGTGGTATATCGGACCCATCGCGCGCTTGGTGGGCGAGTATGGTGCTGATGTAAGTTGTTTCTGGGTCTTGCTTGCCGTGTTCCCCCACTGACGTGTGAACTAGATGGGCCTCTATGTCGCGTTCTCCTGGACAGGCCTGGTGTATCCTCCTCTTCGGTACCTCGAGCGGCGTTACTTCGGTCGATGATCATGATGAAGCATTCTGAACACCGAATTCGCTCTGCGAATGCTGAGTGGGAGCTGGATTGAAGTGTAAGTGTTTTTGGTGCGAGTCAGATCAGTCGAAGGGGTCGTCAGGGTGATATAAGACGAGCCATAAAAGTTATAATCTATTGTATAATACGATGCTTGTTATGACACGCATGGTATGGGGAGCACAGACTTATTGTCTTGTTTAGACTATAGCAGTTATCTAATATTGCTCATTCGAGCACATAATATCGATTGCATTATTAGAAGAAGCCACTGTTTCGGATTGAGATGCTCAAAACATCAACAAAAGTCAATTAAGGACGCAGCATTGAAGAGCCGCATGTTAAGTCCTCCGTACATATGACAACACCAACGAGTGCAACCCGACGCACAAAATCCCCCACCAACGCCACATCGCATATTCCCAACCAACGTCATCCCGATTCCTACAACCCAATGACCTTGGTCGATCTAGAATCCCAGCCTCGGCCGCCGATACGAGTCCAAGCTCAGGAGTGTGCGTGGGATGCTGACCAATCCATTATCAAGCTCAATCTGCCCTGCCAGTGCCTGTGTAAATCATACTCACAAAATCACCGAACAATCTCCTGCACTACGGAATACATAGAGATTACTGGCCCGAAGGATGATCAACATCTTCCCTGATCTGATGGCGGAATAAACCGCCATCCCATCCACACCCATCCCATCACAATCGGCAGTTCCACCTCCCCCCGGGGCCCTGTCTGGAAAAACCCCCCGCGACGCACCCTAAACCCACCCACGCCAGGCTAAAATAAACAAATGAAACAAAAAAAAAAACCAGAAATAAGAATACCTTACATCTTTCTAGTCCACTCCCAGCAGTCCAGAAGGTAGTCTAAGATTAATCTACCCTTCACATATAAAAATCATGATCAGGTAGTTAGTTATCTACAACAACTACCCGGGAGTAGAAAACGAATCAAACCAGACTAGTGATTAAATCCCGAGTCTCTTGCCTATTCGGGCAGAGCACACATCTCAGGCTCAGCTCAGCTCAGCTCCCTCCCCGCCGTAAGCATCCGGTCCACCACTGCATCCGGGCCATCGTTCACTACGGAGTAATGAGTAGATGAATCTGACATACTGGACAGAATAGGTAGTCTACCCGAACAACCTGGCCCTAATTTATCCTGGAGATAGAGAATAACCACGACACATGAGAAAGAAATGTAACCTGGTACTCCGGAGATGTAAGGTGCAGTAACCTACAGACTACAGTACTTCGGGCAAATGACCGTCACAGGTTTCCCGCGAGCAGCCGGCCCGCCGGTCCGGGGACAAGGACCAGGACCAGGATAAGGGCAAGGGCAAGGGCAAGGATAAGGAAGCAGGGGAACCGTTGGACTACTAGCCAAGTTAGCTGTACGGGTACGGGGCCGGGCGGACTGGAGGACATCATGCCATAAGTTAGTTACGCATTCTCATCTCTCCGCGGCTTGACCGCCCCGATGCCACACCCCGGCGGACACCCACCTTTCCCTCCTGGCTAGTAAGCTTGCTACGACTTGGTAGAGACTGAGATGAGGTATCTTTTCTTGTTTTCCACTCACTTTGTGCGATTGTAGAGTTTTTTTTTTCGCGATTGATATTGTGGTTGAGTCTGGTTGCTCGTTTTCTCTTTTCTTGCCAAAACGGGATGGATGGGTATGATCTCTTACCACTGGCACAGTCAACTCAGGTAGGGCTCTAATTGTGTAGGGCAGCAGCATTCATTTATACCTCATGAGGTGGGATGCATCATTTCGGTGATATGCTCCAGCTCCAGCTCAAGCTGGGGTCAATGACATCAATGATCAGTGTGACATCTCGGATAGCGCATACTACTCCACAGATATAACCAGACCAAAAACCGACCTCCCTCCTCGACAACAGTCTAGGGCTCGGAAGGGCTTAGTCCCGAAAGGCATAATTCTCTTTTATAGCCAGCGGAGCGAACCATCCTCTAATTTCCCAAAAGCTCCAACTTATTCTACAGGCATACAAGGTAGCCGAAAACCAGAAGTCTTGAAAACAACACAACAACAATACAGACGAAGACCCAGCAGAAAGAGATAGATAGGTGCACAAGGGGTCAAACCACAAATACAAAGGTAGACAGGTCGGGCCGGGAAACAAGAACGAGAACGAGAGGGGAGAGAGAGGACAAGACACCTATGAGTATGTCGGGGAAAAAGTAGAGTGAAAAAAGTAAAAAAGCCACATGGGTTTTCTCATACACAGCATTCCTCAAAAAATATTAAAGAAAACAGAAGACCAATTGCTAGCTCCATCCGGACGATTTCCTGTGACATCTCTCTCGTCTTTCCCGAACGACCCTCTTGAGCTCTCCTCTCTCGATTTCCGCTCTTCCTTTCCGTCCCTGCCCTGTCTTTGTACACGTACAGTTGTCCTTTTATCGAACCCATTTGCAAAGAACCCATTCCCACGTTACTGGGAATGGATCAAGATAAAAGACAATCGCTCCATTGTGGAAGTGTCAAATATTTACCGGTACCAGTACTCAGGCTTGACGTAGTCGGCGAAGGTCTTGGGCTCCTCATGGGGAGGGTGGCCGTGGTGGTCGTGGCCGTGGTGGTCGTCTGGCCGCGAGGGACATTCGTTAGCAAGTGTGCCCAACCGATGATGTAATGCCACGATAACTTACGGGCGTGGGGGTCCTCCTCAGGACCAACGTAGTTCAGCTTGACGACGTTGCCGCACTCGCCGCAGCGCTCGATAGGGCGGTCACGGGAGACCTAGCCGGTCAGTATCCGAGCAAGGTTCAATGATGAGTCGGGATTCAGCAGAAACTTACGGTGAGCCAGTTAACCTGGTGAGAGTCGGCGGGGAAACCAGTGCAACCAGCGTACTGCTCATCACCGGCACCGTTGACGATGATGGGGTTCTCAAGAGTTCCTGCAGTTCACTTATGTCAGGAACCCGAAACGATTATCGATTACATCCACAGCCGGCAACACGTCCGGTGGACATAAATCCCGCGGCCAGAAATTCGACGTACCCTTGCGGGAGGCATCCAGAGGTCTCATGTCGAAGATGTCGATGCCCTGCATCTTTCCGGTAAGTTCGAGACGCTCGAGACCGGTGGCATGCTCGATGTCGGTGGGAATGGTACCAGGCTTGGCACCAGGGGGGACAAGGTCTTCCTCGGTCTTGATCTCTGTGGGACAGGAAAAGCGCACAATTAGCATCAGATCCGGGGAAACATCATACGATCCGTAAAATCCGAATGCCTGCAGCGCGGAAGCTCGACAGTTGCCCTCACCCCCTCAATTGCACCTGCCGCTCGCGGAAGAAGCCCAGGGAAGATGGTGCAAGTGAAGCAGGCTCGAACAATTGACGTCTGCGCGACGATGAGGATGTGCGGGTACCTACCCTCGAAAGACAGGATCTTGCCCTCCTTGCTGACCTGCCACTTCTTGGCCTGGTCGACTAGAGGTGAAGAGCCAATGTCAGTGCATGTACCAATACCGAGAATGCATTAGGAGATAGAATTGACCGATGTCGACGCCATTGGAGCACACAGACACAGGTCGATGGTCTCTGGGGTGGGCTAAAAAGGCGGTCTTGGTCTGACTCTGAGGGTCACGTACAGCGGGTGACAGAGGAGGAGAAGGGGCGAGCAGCAATGGCCCGGGTGGGAGTGCGCCTGGCGAGGGCGAAGGCTGTGCGTTGAAGGAACATTGTCCTGGTGGATAGTGATGCAATGACGGCAGACAAGGCGAGACGTTTGGAGGAGAGGGAGTTTGGAGGTTGAGGTGAGTTTGAAGCCGCTTCGGCCCGTGGTCGTATGGTCTTAGTCAGCCGTGTGGGATGATTGGTTGCGGAGCTACAACGGCCGGCTGCAGAAGCCATTTGAGCAGATGAGCTTCATCGGGACATGGACTCAGGGCTTAGGGCTACATGGCTTGCGCGGAGGGTCTCTTTGCGTCAACGTAGGGCCTAGCCTCACTGCCTGACGAATATGGCCGCTGCCACGAGACGAGCCACTGCTTTAGTGAGCATTAGCGCCTGCAAAGTGAGACCGGCGCAGGGCCCCTCATTCTGCAGCAGAATCGACTTATCATACACTATCAATCAATCTACTCCGTACCGTACATTAGACCCCCCTCTGGTGTCAGACCACGCCATGAACCTCACAACCGGTTCCTACGTACCCGCACATCGAGGAATAACGTGACAAATGAACGCATTATTTGAGACATTAGACAGAGTAATGGGACGTTGTAAGATTATATTCAAATGACAGTCATTGAAGTTGCGTCGCTTTCTCGCGACAAGCGGCTGGTGTGAAGCCATTGCCAACCTTCCCTGCGATGATACGCCACCGATCGTTCTCGTATTCTTGAAGGGCACGTTGCAGTCTTTGGACCTGTTTTGATTTGTCTTAGCCCACCACTTCGCATACGCAGAGGTATATCCTTGCATAAGAAGAGACCTACCATTTCATCGCTCCAGGTGACGTCCTTCGCTTTCAACTTGGTGCAGTATCGAACCTGTAAGGTACCACTCGTCCGGCCTGGGAAGAAGTCCGCAATTTGCTTCCAAGTGAGGTTTTTGTTTTCTTTTAATTCCACTAACAGAGCATCTTCCTCCGGTGTGAACTTTAGTTTGGGGCCTCGAGGCCGGGGAGCCGGTTCAGGCATCCCGGGCTGGCCTACAACACTCGGAGGACCCGACGGCATAGGCGAGGCTTCCACATTCATACCATGGCGCCCAGGGGTCCGCAGCGCCGCATGGGGCGGGAGGCGATGGTGGTGGTGGTGTTGCGGCAGCCCAACTGACTCTGCGTGCCCAAAGCCGTGCCCTGGCATCGGAGGCTGTTGGGACGGTGCCCCGTGGACAGAGAAGAGCATCTCCGGCGAGTGACCATGCTCGGCCGGCCCGTCTGCGGGAAGGACCGATAATTGAGGTCTAAGACCATGGTCTGTTTCATCTCCTTCTGTCTCTGAATGAGGCCGTTTCTTGCCACGGTGGAGTGGAGGGATTTCGAAGCTGGGTGGAGGATACTGGACGGGAAGTTGCCGTGGGAGCATCGGCGTATGGCCAAGGACAACGGTCTGTGGCATATCATGCACTGATGGCTGAGGGGTCGCCGTTGGAAGGACGGTCGCGCTTGCATGATGCTGTGAGAATGCTGCGCTGCTGTGAGAATGCGGTTGCGAGAAGGGGGGTTCGGCCTGTTTGTGATGGTGGAGGTGCGGCTGTGGCGTGTGATAAACAAGCGTGCTTTCCTGTTGCTCGGGCTTGCAGGTGGCATGTTGAGAGTACTCAATCGCATAGTCACGATACGGATCCGCCAGAGTAGCGGACATACATCTGCGCCGCTAGAGCTTGAAAGCCCTGGCAGGCTGCTCAACGCGGCTTAGAAAATGGTAAGAGGTGAGTTCGAGGGAGTCGGTCCCAGTAGATGAGGCCTTTCGCTGATAGGACGGAGTTTGGATTCGAGAATAAACCAGTGATAAAAAGAGCTTGATCCAAAGTTGACAGTGGGTTGAGCATCAGCCAATATCTCTCGTCATCTAAAGTCTCGCAAGCTGAGATCGCAGTCTCGTCACAACAGAATCGCGTTGTTCAAAGCAATTTTCCAGTACTAGTCGAGGTTAGGGAAAGGCTGAATAAACGGACTGACGTGACCGAAGCGCCAAGTCAAAGAACTTGTTCATCCCACGGGAAATGGATGGAAATAAAGAGGCCTCATCGAAAGCAACCGAACGCATTTGAAGGGAAAAGCGGGACACTTGAAGGCGACGCACGGTCTGGCCAACATGAGGAGAAAGAACCAAACCAGTGGCAGGGTAAACATGATGGATATATAAGCCATAACGCACTCACCTAGATCAAGAAAACGTTGAAGACCAAGTTTTTCGGAAATTGCCAGTAACCCTGCATCCGTCTGCTGCACCTCAAATTTGGTTCCGACTCAACCGAATCTACAGAGTCAAGCCACAGGCCTCTATAATGGGAAGCAAACGGTCAAGACGGCCAAGATGTAAAACCGTCAAGCCCCGTCACTGGAGATGCAGAAACAGATGGGGAAGAGACAAGTGGAGGCGATGCCGGGAAACTTCTTCCAGCTGCATGTAAAAGTCCCGTGCAGTGACTCGACTTATTCTAGGATATATAGGCCAGTTCAGCCAGAATGGGCGGTAGTTGTAAGGTTCTGGAAAGGGAAAAAAAGTAATAAATAAGAGGGTACTGGGGGATTTTCGACGAGACACGGAGATACTCCATACAGCCCGAATACAGGATGGTGCAGGTGGGCTGGGGAGAAAAAACCCCCATTTGACGGACGGATCGGCATTCCAGTCAAGCTTAGTTTGCAGAGGGGCCCAGTGTGAACAACGGCCATAGCTAGCAGAGCCAGCGATGTCGAAGGATGAGGCTACGATTTGCCTTCCGCCGGCCCGTCTGGTGGTTGCCAAGGCATGCCAGACAGTCGTGGAGAAGGAAATTAGAGTCAACTGCCGGGAGATACTGTACAAGTATGAAACACTAAAATAGACAAAGAGTCTAAGAGGTTTCCTGGATGGGTTATCGGCGCCCAGCTTGCTTCTGGCGGCGTTTGGACATCATTCTGGATGATTGATCAGCTAGAAGCGGGGAGATCCAAGCCCAATCCATACGTAGGCCTAACATAATCTTAAGTTAACTTATTGGATACGAACGTGGGTTGAGTGACCTCTGGGCTCTGTGGATTCGGGTTAAGGGAGTCAAACCTGTTGCTGGTGTGCTCCTAACTCGCTCAGGGAATTTGCCCCCTGTCAGAACAAGGCCCATCGTAGGTCGTCGCAGCAACTCCACTCAGTGAAACGCCAATAGCGGAGGAGGAATGAGAGCAGTCGTCGTGCGAGACATCCACCTGAACAGGGTGAGTTGAACCACTAGCGGGAGAAGGGCTAGTTTGTTGTTTAGTGGGCCATCATCATGACTAGGCAGGTGAGTTCCGGCCGAGCCTTCTCATGAGTGATGGTGGAGTCTTAGAGAGTATATAATCCCGAAAAAGGCTTTGGGGGGGCCCTTTTGGGGGCAGGTGGCGCGGGAACTCAACCACCGCCTAACCCACATCCACTCGATAGATAGATAGGTTGATAGATAGATAGGTTGAGAAGGATACAGCAACCTTCGGGATATGGTCTGCAAGCATCGTGCCGCCCGCACAAAAAAAAAGTGGCTGGTTAGCTTCGAGGTCCAACCGTTCGTCCACGTCTATTTTCCCCTTTTTCTGTTCCTCTGACTGGTCTCTCACGGGGGAATCTTTCGCTCTGGGTCCTTGCGCCGGGAGGTCACTAGACCGGGTGACCATGATAAAACCATCTTTCCCTTGGCTTTTGCTACTCCGTACTGAGTACACAGTGACCCCATCAACAATGGAAAGGCCGGACTGACCCTTTTCGTGAGAGCGTCTGTCAACCTTATTTGCTCGTGTCTATTAGATTACCCTGGCGGACGAGCCCCGACAACGGTCGGAGGCCGAGAGCTTAGCGCGTGGGTGTCATGATTGTCTATGCCCGCGAGTGGGTGTGGGCGCACGAGGGGGGGGAGGGAATGGAGGCCTAGAGCTGATAGCCACCGATGATTTGTTGCGGGCGGTTTTAAGCCCGCTCTATTGCCTACTTAGTCAATGAGCATGGCTGTCATGAATCATGTCCACGGGTAGAGCAACGGAGCTTATACACAACACGTAAGACCCCTCCAGAGCCTGGCGTTGAAGTAGCCTTAACTGGGCGTAGGCTCCGGACTCCGGGCTGGTCTCGGAGTTGGACTTGGTGGGACCTGTGCCCATTGCATCTTGCAGGCGTGCAGGCTTGCGGCACAAGGCAAGCTATTCCGACAGGCGTGTTTTGACTTTATTCCCACCCCCGGAGGGCTTGAGCTCTTGAAGCAGTGGTGAAACAGAACGCAATGATTAGATTTTATCGAACCACTGAAGGGAGATTGAGAAGGAGCGGAGGAGCTTGGTTTCAAACGTAAACCAGACCAGTGCTGTCCATTATTCTTTAGAACTAAAGATAGCACGAAGTTCACGAACGGTGATGACTCGGACGTGAGCGGGAATACGGGCAACGGGCAGTAGTTTTGAAGCCAAAAACTAGGGGCAGGCACTGTTTGAGAGCTAGCTGGAGCCGCTGTTGCTGAAGAAGGAGAGAAAAGAAAAGCAAGAAGGACTGATTCAAATCAGAATCAAAAGAATGTGGGTTTTCGGGGCACTTTTTCCACTCTGCTGTGGTGGGCACAGCAGGGCAACAACAAGATGAAGGAGTAGAAAAAGAAAAAGGTCCACGGTGGGAGAAAAAAAAATATACTGTACTGTAGTTACATCAGAAAAGGCAGGAAGGAAAGCAGCTGAGGCAGAACAATCAGGCAAACAATCAAACACAATCCACAATCGGCTCTGTACCAACAAACAATAATTAAATAGTAACAATAACAATAACCATAACAATAATCAACAAGCTACGAGTCAAATTGAAACAAGCAACATACAATCAAATTCTTCTCCGGTCCTTCGAGGTTCGTTCGTTCCGGTTCGTGTCAGCCATCCAGTAGAGGTTTGCTGATCAACCCACACTGGTGCAACCAGTCAATCCACCTTAAATTCATTTCTGCAATCTGCATGGCCTCACTGAGTTAAGCAACTACCACGACAAACCTACTTAAGTGGACTCACACATGGTCCCGATATTAAAAAAACGGATCATTCTCCGATGATGATTGACGGTAAGTTTCCAGCCCACACCCACATGGTCGATCCCCTAGGACCAAAACACCGTTAGTGTAATAGCACTTTGGCACTTTGGGACTTTAGCATTACACATGGCCAAGATCCAGTTCTTCAAGATCAACCAATGATCGTCGGATTCAATTAGCATCTAAGACACCAGGTAGGCTACATACAAATATGGTACAGCAATACAAGTGAAACCCCCTGATTGAATCACCATCACCCCCCCCCCCCCCCTTCATTTTCGATCCCAGATGCCAACCAATAATCGCTGTAACAACACATGAGGGGAAATAATTTTTTTGCTGGAATGAAGACAAATCGGAAAAGAGAAGGATTAAGGAGAAGGGGGAAAGAAAAAAAAAGGAAGAAAAGGAAAATCAAGGCTAGCTACAAAGACAAGAATATGGAAACCCATGAGAAGAGGAACGTGACATGAAATCATCCAACGCCGCCGAAAGTCATCAATCACGCAAAGTTATCCGAACGATCAACCCAGATATCTTCCAGCTCAGCGAAGTTCTGGAAGTGAAGTGGGCGATGCTGGTCGTCGTAGAATTTCAGCGGCGTGTCGATCTTGACATACACTGGCCGCTTCTCCACACTACCGAAGGAGCTTCCCATGAAGCTATAGTTCCAGACATTATCCTCCGGAACAAGGAAGTACCCACGGATCTTGTCACTGAGCAGAAGCTGGCACTTCTCGCCCATGCTAGTCGAGAACCCCTGGGGTTGGTCCGACGTCATATCCCGGTTCTCAGCACCCCACTTGTAGCCCTGAGGAGTGAGTCCCCACGCGGCAAGCGAAACCGAACCAGGGGTGAAAGAAACAGTCATCGTGACCGTCTTCTTGTCCCAGGAAGAATGGGCGTTCATCAAGCGAGCGTGCTGCGTCACATCCGCGGCCGTCATATAGTGTGGCTCGTTTCCGGAAATAGTATGGATCACACCAAGAGGTTCGAGGTTGTTCAAGTAGTCATGCTGGGGTAGTTGCTGGGGCAATTGAACCTCACGCGTGTTACCAACCTGAGGAACCATGACGATCGTGCGAATCTCCTTGACTTGATCGTTGTCGGGTGGCGAGCTACCGTAAAGGAAACCGGCAACTTGCACACGCAGATCAGCAATGGTGATGAATCGCTTGAGGACGTTCTTAGGCATGATGTAGGTGTAACCCTCATCCCTAACCTCGTCAGAAGAGATGTAGATGTTGTTCGACCTAGTCCGCAAGTTGGAGGTCGCGATAGCACGGGTACGCCACTCAGTCTTCGAAGCAAAGGATTGCTGTTCGTACTGCGACGTGGTGGTGACAATGATGTCCTCACCCCGAACGTTCTGCGTCTTCGTCGTAACAGCGGTAAGCTGCTTCTGCTCCTCCTGCTGCTTCTCGATCTCGGCGGCTTGCTGGCGCTGGAGCGAGGGTGCACTGATCTCCATACCCAAGATAATGTCACGAACTTCACTGCTCGTCAAGCTCTGAACATTGACATTGTTCTTCTTGCCATAGTCATTGAGGATGAGATCGCGGAGCTGCACTTCAACCTTCATCCAGTCCTCGTCGGACAACGTGGGCCAGATGTGATGCTCTTG